ACATTAAATCGGAGACGTTGGCATGCAGTTATGGGGATGGGGTCAGATGGAAGCTGAGAACGGTAGTACTTTTCGAAGACAAGATGGGAGAGAAAAAAAACTGGTTCTGACAAAAATCTGCTTTTCTGCTGGCAAATGAAAGAAGAAATTTTCTACAAAATATCTATTTGTTGAAATGATTCACGCTTCCTTGAAGAGCAAAATTTTTGCGAGCATTATAGTTTAGTTTCCTTTCATTATCAGAGTGCTGACGCAAATGCGTTTTAGGGCGCCTTCCAAAAACTGCTAAGAATGTCTCAGTTTCATCAGCTCTGGCCTGTTGCTCTCGTTAATTGTCCATTCCGAGAAAAAATCATTGTAAAAGGCTTCCCATGACACCTGCATTATGATCAAAAGCCACCCGTGAATTTATAACAGTCCCTTTTTTTCGATCTCTCTTTCCTCTTCTCATTTTCCCAGGGCGGCTAGTTTTCATTACTAGAAAATGATCCCATCAGAGGAGCGGGAATTTATTCTGTTATCGAATTTATTAATAAATTGTCATGAAATGTTAGATTCACCACCAGAGGTGATTATTTTTAACTTAGAAATCATTGGCGACGCGCACCAGGCGGGCGCTTGCGATCATGCGTTTTTGTAGTATTTCGTGCTCCAGTAAAATCGCTTGCAATCACAGTAGGAAGAATTTGGGAAGTGCTGGCCCTCAAACCATAGGCGGTTCCGGAGGAGGGGGTGGAGAAGGGCAATGGGTCCTTCGCCTCCCCCCTCCCTCTTCTGCCTTAGCGACACAGGCACCAGTACTGCAAAAGTCCGGATCTAAAGCTAAAACTAAAGTAAACTCTCCTTCTCACCTTCCGTCGCTCCCCATCCCCAGGAGTCCCACTCCCTCCCCACCCCTCCCCTCTCCGCTCGTCCCCCTTCCCAGAAGTCTGCCTTGGATCCGCCTATGCCACATGATACTTGAAAAGGGAACATTCTGTTAAAATTTCAGCTTTCCTGGTTCCTGAGTTAGCGATTTTCCCGCCAAAAATTTTTACGGGGCTACAGTTGAGATCACGAACGTCTGGCAGCTGAATTTGAAATTTTTGAGTTCT